AGGGTAAAAGCCTCTTATGTCAGAGATTACAGAGTTTGTTTTGACTAGCCTCTGCAAAATGTGTTCATTGGGTTCCTTGCAGCTTCCTGGGAATCCCGTCTCTGTCTGAAAGTCTGAATCAAGAACAGTAATCATTTAGTATGTACACCAAGCTTCCTGGAGATTGAACCCAGGGTCTGGTTGGTGCTAGGCAAGTACTCCAGCATCGCAGCCTCCTTTACTTCTTCCTTTAGACAGGGTCTAAGCTGCTCAGCCTGTATCCCTGGCAGGACAAGCCCATGTAACAGGTTTGGCTCCAAGTTAAAAAAAAGGGGGGGGGGAAAGAGGCTACATAACTTTGCAGGTTAAAGACATGCAGGAATTAGATATATAATTTTGAATAGAATGTTTAAGAAAAAACAAAAAATAATAAAGAATTAAACATTTTAGGTAGAAGAGCCATTTGTAACTTTCAAGTTGACAGTGATTAAAATTTTATATAGTCATCTGTATGTATATATATGCCTATATACATATATGTATGTTATATATATACGTATATATGTAACACATACACATCTTTGTATTCACTGCCTTTCCCTCAAAGCCCTTGAGGTTGTTTTAATTTGAGCACAAATTAAATTGTGACTAAGGCCAGAGTGGAGGCAGTTCATTTAGAAACACTTAATATCCTTAATATCACTCCCTCTTCCCCTCCCTCCCTCCCTCCCTCCCTCCCTCCCTCCCTCCCTCCTTCCTTCCTTCCTTCCTGTGCATTTGTGTTTTGCCTGCATGCGTGTCTGTGTGAAGGTGTCAGATCCCCTGAAACTAGTTACAGGCAGTTATGATCTGCCACGTGGGCGCTGGGAATTGAACCCTAGTCCTCTGAAAGAGCAGTCAGTGCTCCTAACTTCTGGGTCATCTCTCCGGCTTCTGTTCCATACCACCATTGCCTGCAGCAGAGCCATTGTTTCCCCTCTTTATTTCACCAGCCTGTGTCCTTCCTCAGTTCTCATGCCCCACTGTTGTGTAGACAATGCTTCCCCACTCATGTCCCAAGAGTACTATAGTAAGAGGCTCTCATAGATCTTTGGGATCTGCCTAGATTCAACTTGGAAGCCAGAACTGGGTCTTGTGGCTCTTGAGGCCTGGTCTGGACAGTGTGGGCGATGGTGGACAGAGTCCCTGCTCCTGACACTTCATTGCTAAGGAGTCTCCCTGGAGGGGAAGATGACCGCTTTGGCACTTGGCTCTCCCATTGTTCCACGGTTCCCTTGTTACTGTGAAGGTACCTGTTGGCCTGGGTTGCACAGGCCTCCCCAGCCCTCGTGGTTTTGCTGGATAAACTTTGTCCTTTTCATTGTCACTCTCCTCCCTGTTCTTCCTTTCCTCTTATTTTTGGATGGAAAACTTAAATGTTTATTTGTTACCACTGGTGTGGCCTCCATCCACACGGGGAACACTCAACACGTTTTTGAAGCCATTTGCTTGGATTTTCAAACGGCGCTGTGGGAAACTCAACTTCAATGAACATACATAAACATGGGCCATTCTCTTCTGGAAGAATACCTGTGGTTTACTTAAAGATAAAGCGGAAAGGAATGCTGTGATGTTGAATTTGGCTTTGAATTACAGGTCTAGAAGAATGTCTATGTGTAGAGTCCTGGATTTGTTAGGCCTGTCTACAATATTGTGTCTGTTTATACATATTTATTAGGTTGAAATGAATGTATTTTTTCCAGTTGTTTGGAAAGCAGCTATTATCTATCTCTACCAAATACTGATTTGTCTCAAATGTGTGTTAAAATAGAAAGGCTCAGGGCAGCGTACAGCGTTGCTGAATAAACGCAACGTTTGGTTTTTTGTCTTGAAACCCTCCTAGACTTGCACCAGACGGAAATGGTAATACCCGCCCCAGAGTTCCCACACTGTCGGCTTGAACAGACTGAAACACAAATGTTGCTGTATAGGACCTGCCTGGCTGTTTCAGAATAGTGCTTGGCCCCTTCCACACACTGAATAAATAGTGTTCATTTTGTAGTGCCACCAGGAATTAGAATAGGAGAGCACTGGAGAGACTGTCCCACACATGCGGTTTTGAGTCTTACCTCCTCTGTTTATGGCCCCATGACTGTAGTCATCTGCTCATTAGCATAGAGGGGGTGTAATGATGCTCATCACACTTTTACACTAAGGACTTCAATAGTTTAGTTCTCCCGAGATCTAACCTGACATGATGACATATGCCTTTAATCCTAGTGTTTGGGAGGCAGAGCAGGTGGATATCTGTGAGTTCAAGGCCAGCCTGGTCATAAATCTGAGTTCTAGGACAGCCAGAGCTACATAAAACAGACCCATTTCCAAGAAAAAAGCCCATTTATACTCTTTCTATTTTCAGCTTAACTTGGTTTCTCTTTGAAAGAAATTAATTTTCCTTAAAAATTCAGAATTACTGTTCTCAAGTTAATTGGCTGATTAACCATTTCCCTTGAGTGTCCAATGCTTTTTTTCTCACACTGCTTCATCTATTGTCTTCTCCATTTCCTGCCCCTCCCCACCCCGCACTGTATTTCCTGCCCCTCCCCACCCTGCAGACTGTATTTCCTGCCCCTCCCCACCCTGCAGACTGTATTTCCTGCCCCTCCCCACCCTGCAGACTGTATTTCCTGCCCCTCCCCACCCTGCAGACTGTATTTCGAGTGTGTAGTTTTGCCCTCGGATATGGCATTTCTTACCTTTTTCGTCCTAACTTTAGAACTTGAATGTTTTAGGCAAAAATTCTTTCATGGTGTTTTCAGATTTGTAGCTAGGATAATCTTCACCCCCACCGTGTCTCTGTTTCTGTCCCTGTCTCTCTCTCAACATTTCCTGGTCTTGAAGATTTTAGCTGCATGCACGTCCCGTCTAGTTGGAGAGCCATGTGTCATGGCTCTCCCCTTAGTTTCATACTCTTTGATTCTTTCTACCTGTATATCTTTATTTAGTTCTTCTGTCCACCAGTACTATATACATTGTATCACTTGTGGGAGAAATAGTTTATTTTTTCCTCGCTTGCTTGTTGAGACAGTCTCAATATGTAGCTGTGGCTGGCCTCTCCCTCTGCCAGAGTGCTAAAATTAAAAGCATAAACCACCACACCTGGCTCTAAAACATCATTTTATAATAATAAGATAAAGAATATTTTGTTTCTGGAATACTCCCAAAATAACCAGTGTTTTCTTAACTTTGTTTTGAGCAGTAAAAATAAAATTGTGTATGGTATCTCCACCTTTCTAAATATAAAATTGCAAGCTTTGACAAATATTTATAATGAGATATATAGACACAAATGTATATAATTAGAAATCTTATTGTATTTTTAAAATCACGCTCTGCTTAGACTGGCCACCTTGCTCTGTTCTCTTTGGTGTGAATGGAGTTGTACACCTTTGCACCTGGCTGCTTAGTGTTAGCTTATTTTTCTCATTGTGGACAGTTCCCCAGAATGCAGTCACACCCGGGCTATTTGTCCACTCACCAGGTAAGAGAGCTTTGTGGGCTGCTTCCAGATTCTAGTCTTTGCACCAAAGCTGCCAGGAGCCCTCACATGCTCTCTCGAATGAGAATGTCCTACTTAGACTCAGGCATTCGAGCACTTGGTCACTAGTTGGGGGAGGCTAGATGGTTCAGCCTTGCTGGAGGAGGTATGTCATTGCAGGGCTTTGAAATTTGAAAGGTCCACCTAGTTCCCATGTGCACTCTTCCTTTCTGTTAAAGGATGTGAGCTCTCACCTTTTGCAAGGCTTTTCCCTACCTCTCGCTGCCAGCCTGGAGTTGAAAGCCAAAACCAACTCTTTGTCTACGTTATCTTCTCACAGTAACAGAAAAGTAGGTATCTACTACACACCTGACCATAAATCTCCATTGTACGTTAGGGTTAGTATCCATGAATGGGCTTGTGGTAAATCTTAGCTTGTTTACTTAACTTGCTCAACAAACTCCAAAAGTTTGTAAAGAAACTTTTAAAGTAAGTGCCCAGTAGCTTTGCAGAGAATGGCCTCTAAATACACTTCTCTGCACTAATCTAACAAAGTACAGTTTCATTGCTGACTTCCCCCAGCTCACTCCAACTTACATGATCAACCTCACCCTCTCCACACACACGTTTGCTTGCTTTTTTTTTTTTAATTACATCTTTTTGGTCAATATAGTAAATTTTAAAGAGAGCAGCAGCATGCAGTGTGAGATGCCCTTGTCTGTCAGTGATGCTCAGGCACGGAAGGTGGGAACCTTAGGCCAGGTCACTTTGCTTGCTAAAACTGCGTATGTTCTGTGGTTTGGTTTAAAATACTTGAAAATTTCCAGAAGTTATTGCTTCCTTTGATTCTTCTTAGGAAGCTGAGTTTCTGATTCCCATTAACCTTTACTTGACTGTCCCAGCCTCTGAACTGACTTATGTGCTTGTTCAGATAAAGGATTGCGTTTCATAAATATTGACATTCTCTTTGGAGAATAGAAATTTAGAAATGTGCTTACTTGTAATTAAATTGTTTCAGATTTTATAATAATGAAGGTTTGGTTTTAAGATCTGTAAGATAGTTAATGGGGAAAACTAGAAACAGAATCTACTGTTTTTGAACAATAAGAGATAATATATAGCAAAATTTTTCATTTTTCCTTAACGAGTTAAAAAAGAGAGTACATACGATTTAAATTAAGTCTCTTCACCTCCCACCCCAGCTGAGGCCCGAGTCCAGGCTTCATGCTTAGTGTTCTACCAAATTAACCCCAAATTAAGTTTTTATAATCACAATTTTATTTAAAACGTGTTTAAAGTTTATTTTTAGTCTTTCATTGAAGCTACAGTTTTCTTGTAAACATGCCTTCTCTAGACAGAGTTCTGAGGTGTGGACTAGTGTTGAAAGCCGTTAAGAACTTAGATCAGGGTCTTCTCTTCAGAATTATCCAGAGTAATTCTAGACCAAATTTTGATTCATCTTATTATTATTTCAATTTGGCCCTTTAAACAAAGTTTATCTTTAGTGTTTGCTTTGGCAACACATTTATTAAAATTGGAACAATACAGAGGTTAGCATGCCCCCTTCACAAAGATCACATACAAATTCATGAAGTGCTCCATATTTTTTTTAAAGTGTAAATCTTTATTACTTAAATGATGTTTGGTCTGAGTGCACATTGGGATAGTACTCTACAAATAATATTTTAGTTGGCAAAGATACTTAATCCTGTTCATATGGAAAGGGAATTATAATTAAAACCAATAACCTGCCTTTCCACGGTTGTGGCTAGGGATGCTCTGGTGGGATGACTGACTGGGAGCATCAAGGCTTTTAGGGCCCTCTTAAAGATGTGTAATGAGCTGCCCTTAAATGCAAGGGTTCTGTTTGCACTAGTAATTAAATTCATACTGAAGACTGGTAGGGCAGCTTGCTATTTATGTGTTTTGTCTTGGGATTTTAGTAACTTAAAAGGTGAGATGAAGGGATTAAAAAGGGGAATTTTTAATAAATTGTAGTAGAAAAACATGTGCTAACTTCTCAGCTATTAACCAGTTTACCTGAAGACTAAGAACTTCAGCGCACACATCTAGGTCTTCCCTGCTCTTCACTCCAGGGGTAACTCAGGTGCCGTGCTTTACTCCTTGGTCCTAGGATGACTTTGGAGACATTAAAAGTGTGCTAGGACTTGCTTGATGATTCTAGGTGGATCAGTTTGCTTAGAGTGGGCTGCTGCTGTTTAATATGCAGTATGTTTTCCCACAGTCCTGTCTGAAGGTGGGGGGGCATCTCCTTGTGATAGGCACCATCAACGTTTCTGTGATTGTTTTGTCATCATCTTGATACTGTCCTTTGGTAAACAAGCACTTTTAAGTGTGATAACATTCAAGTTGTACTTGGTGTTGCTGCTTTAGTGCCATGTCCGGGGTGGCAAAGGCTCAGCTGTATGTGCTTAGGAGAGTTCTGTGGTTCCAGTCCTTAGTGGTAGGTATTTCTGTATTTGCTGTACATCTATTCTTTAACATGTGGCTGTTGACTTGGTTGAAAGTCATTTGACCACAGGTATCCAGCTCGCTTTTGGATCTGTAGTCTAGCACTACAACTATTCCCATTGTGGTATCTTGATAACAATTGTGAGGCTGATGAGTACAGGTCTTTCAGCATTGTTCCTTTACACTCTTTGTTTTGGTTATTTTGGGCTGTGGCATCTCCACATGAATTTGAAGATTCACTCTCCATTTCTATACAAAAAACCATTGTAATTTTAGTGGAGCTTAATTGCTGTCTAGTTGATTTGGGTATTTGTCATTTTAATGGTATCCTGGTGTTTCCCCTTGCAGTCTCTGGTTTCTGTCAGCAGCGGGCCATGGTTTTCAGTGCAGAGTCCTCACCTTGACTGTTAGTCAAGTATTGTAGTCTTTCAGTTGTTCATTGCTCTCATGCTCTCATGGAAATGCACACTGATTTTTCTATACTTTTTTTTTGTACACTGGTAGAAGAGGTGATCTAAAATAGATTTGAAAAGACTAGAATTTGACAAAAATACATGAGAAGCATGTTCCAAGCAAAGGAAACTCACTTAGTTTCTACCTTCACCACCCTCGGCAGAAGAGACAGAGCACAAACACCCAGAAAGCAGGGAAGAGCTGTATTGGGGAGAACAGCACATATAACCGTAGAGAAAACCTTGATGTCGGGAATGTCGGGCCTGGGCCAAGGGAAGATGACCTAGGCCTCACCAGTGACAATGCTCCTGGTTTAGTGAACACAGCTAGCGTTTGTAGTGGCTCCATTAGATGGTTCACAGTGCAGTGATGCGTTGTGAACCTTAAATCTGTGGCAAGGGACTAGGATGAAAAGACCCACGTGTACCCTTTCCAGGCAGAGCAGGAAGCCCTGTGTTCTTAAATGTTTCTGCTGGTTTTAAAATGTTAACCAACCAGAATTGATGATTGGCTTGCTTTTTAGGAAGAAAGGTATTTATTTACAGAAATTTGTTAAACGTCTTTCATATTGACATATGTAATGTTTGAAAGTGTCTAGGCATTATTTATCCTTTCTCCAATATTAAGTATAGACAGGGGTCTCTACAATTTTTAGTTTGTAAGTAGTGTTTTCCTGGGAGATCCTGGGGTTTTCTAAACCCTAAGACAGGTAAATATTCTTAATTAGGTTTCATGTGAAAATACCAAACACTTTTTTTTGTTGTTGTTTTGTTTTCCGAGACAAGATTTCTCTGTAACAGCCTTAGCTATCCTGGAATTCCCTCCGAAGACCGGGCTGGCTTCGTACTCACAGAGATCTGCTTACCTCTGTCTCTCGAGTGCTGGGATTAAAGATGTGAGCCACCATTGCCTGGCAAAAATTCCAAGCTCTTATCTGGTAGTTCCACTTAGCTTCCTTGCTGGTCCACTTCTGTTCCCAGAGAGAAGCCAGAAGCAGCAGATGGAGTTAGAAGCGTAGTGGAACCACGAGGATTGTTCCTCAAGAGTCAAGATGGCAAGCAGTGGGTTCCACTGTCTCTCACTGTTGAACTGTCCCTGTCGGACATGCTGTCAGTGGCAGTCTTTCTGTTGAATTTTGGGCATGACTTGGGGGAGATTTCTTAGCTGAGGGCTTTAGGCAGTATACAGTAGTTAGGATATGTCAGGAATTGATCCAGTCTCAGTAGATTAAAGATTCTTTGGGGATAGCATTCTCTTCCCAATATATAATACCTTAATTTTGTTGGATTTGCATTTACAGTATTATAGACAGTGTGCTAATTGCCATAGTGTCGGTATGGGTTAGACAACTCACAAGCATTTGAGGACCAACATCTGTGCCAAACACTTTTAATTACAGCAGGCTTTGATTGTCTTGATTTATCCCATAAATAAATTCATTATATTGGAACTGCTCAAATTTCTGAGAACAGTTATTTACTCTTCGAGAATCTGTTACTCAGAGTGCACATCTTCTACTCTTAAGCAGACTGCTGGGGTTTTCCTTAGAAATGTGTGTGTATGTGTACAAACATTTGCATGAGTGCAGACATGCCACTGTTCATCTGTTGTGGTCAGAGGAATCAGTTCCCTCCTGCCATCATGGTCCCATGGATAAAAGTCAGGTCATCAGGGAGCAGCCATCTTTAACTCCAAGACATCTCAGCAATACAGGTTGTTATTTTTAAAGATTGATGTTATGCAAGTATATTCTTCATAGAAGATGAAGCATGTTTTCATTATCCTTAGCATTGAACTCTTCATGAATACCTAAGAGACGCAAATGTTTCCCTGACAGACACCATAGGCTAGATTTGCACACACTGTATATTTCCTTCTTTCTGTTTTTTATGAGACAGGGTCTCATGTAGCCTAGGCTGGCCTTACGTTTGCTTGATAGCTGAGGATTACCCTGAACTTCTGATCCCCCTCTACCTACCTCCTAAATGTTGGGATTACAGGTATGTGCCACCACACTTGGTTCATACAGTGCTGGAGATGAGATGCAGGGCTTCAAGATTGTGAGTTAAGCACTCTGCTTGCTGAGTTACAGCCCCAGTTTCCTTTTTCTTTGTTTCCTTTCTTTTAATTGTACAGGTGTCTAAACTGGGTATGATTAAGTATTTTAAAGTGTCACGTAGTTATATAGTGATGATTTTATTTAAAACCAATTTAGGTCATTTAAAAACTGCAAACAGGGGCTGGAGAGATAGCTCAGAGGTTAAGAGCATTGTGTGCTCTTCCAAAGGTCCTGAGTTCAATTCCCAGCAACCACATGGTGGCTCACAACCATCTGTAATGAGGTCTGGTGCCCTCTTCTGGCCTGCAGATACACACACATACACAGAATATTGTATACATAATTAATAAATAAATATTTTAAAAAACTGCAAACAGTCTAAGAAAATAAAAGTGATGGGTGTTTTGTATTGCTGGTGGTGGTTTTGTGTTTAGAATTAGAGCTGAAACCTCTGTTAGAGGAACGTAGACTGGCACAAATAAAGAGAGAGTAATGTTTTCTTTTACGTCTGATGTTACAGCATGTTGATGGCCTCTGGAGCAGGGTTCAGTGGGCAGTGTGTGAAATGAAGATTAAAAATGAGACTGGTGTTCTGGTAGTTAGCCAGTGCCTTTATAAACACACCTGAAGGTCATTGGAGAGCTGAAATGTACCCCAGAAGTGATTATGCTACAGCATACAGGATCATGGAATAGTGCACTTAAATTGTAGGGCTCACACTGCCATGACGGAGTTCTGGGTAATGGGGAGGGGGGCTGGTTGCTGGCACTGATACTCAAAAACTGTGCGAAGTAGGAAGGCACGAGGCTGAAAGGCTCTTGCCCAGCTTCTCCCGCTTCTCCCTAAGAGACGTGCACGACTTTGACAACTCTCTCTCACTCTAAACCTTCAGCCTGTGCTTCCTTTGGGCTCTTTGGGTGTGTTAAGATTGAACACAGACTTGCGCGTGTTAGGCAAGCCTTCTACCTGACCTTCTTTCCTGTTCTGTAGGACTTATAGTTCTGGTTTTTACCAAGTATGTGTGATGTTTGATTTTTAAGGTCTCTTTCACCTATTCTACCAAAAGAGATTTTTCCAGATTATAAACCAGCATTATTTTCAAAATTTCCTGTTAATCATAACATTTAAAGATGAGTTAGTTTTCTTTACACAGTAAGGTGGTTGGTTTTCCTAATTATTGGTGATAACTCTGTCTGATCTCAACCTTATGTCAGATTGCTGCAGTTGTCAAAACATCGTTTGCCTTAATAATTTGGACACAACAACTTAATGTTTTCTAATGGAAGAAATAGAAGCTCTCAAAAGTAAACACTTTAAAATGAAGGCATCTCAGTTTAGGGTGGTTTGAATGAGCCGTAATCCTCCATTATGTGCAGAAGGAAAGCCTGTCTCCTGGTGTCACCTGCTGTGAACGCTTCTTCTCTGGATGATAGCAGACTGCATCAGAAACAAAGTCCACACTTCATCTGGCTACCCTATTTGAGTAGGGCACGAGATGTAGGTAGATTGTGAATAATTTATTACATCATAACAAACATTTAGAACAGAAAATCTGAGAGTGCATTACATTATAGTAACAATAATTACCTTTTTGGGGGAAGCTTGGGCTTCAGCTGTTATGTGC